CTGTAGCGTCCATGGGGTTATTGTGACCAAAATGCAGGACTTGGTACTTGGCCTTGTTGAAGCTCATAGAGTTGGCCTCAGCCCATGGATTCAGCCTGTCCTGGTCCCTCTGCAGAGCCTTCCTACCCTCAGGCAGATCAGCACTCCCTCCCAACTTAGTGGGTTTACGTGTCATCAGATGAAAGTGTTGTCTTTACTTTGGCACTTACTGTTTCCAAAATGTTTCCTGTAACCGTTTCTTCTTTTCTTTTTGCTTTGCCATGGCTTTCTCCTGCCCGTGACCCCAGCGGTTCCCCGGACCAGCGCCACGCAGTGCAGCTCGGTGCCGGAGCCGCGCTACGGCCGGAGGTTGGGCAGCGACTTCGCGGTGGGAGCCGTGGTTCGCTTCGAGTGCGGCGCTGGCTACGCCCTGCGGGGCTCCCGCAGCATCGAGGGCCTCACCATGCCCGGGGCGCTGGCGCAGTGGAACGTCTCGGTGCCCACCTGCGTGGGTGGGTGTCGAGAAAACGGCGCGGCGGTTTGTGCTAGAATAAGAAATTGCATCCATTGGAATGGGGGAAAATAGCCAAACAGGCAACAACAACCAAAAAAATCCAAAAATAGAAGCATACAGACAAAAAACAACAGAAAAAGGAGCTCACCATGCCCGGGGCGCTGGCGCAGTGGAACGTCTCGGTGCCCACCTGCGTGGGTGGGTGTCGAGAAAACGGCGCGGCGGTTTGTGCTAGAATAAGAAATTGCATCCATTGGAATGGGGGAAAATAGCCAAACAGGCAACAACAACCAAAAAAATCCAAAAATAGAAGCATACAGACAAAAAACAACAGAAAAAGGAGGGAAATAATCCAAAACCAAACCTAAACACCAATTAAATAGAAAACCAAACCCTGTTTCCTATCTCTTGCATACAAAAGCCTGGCCAGTTAACCTCAGATGCCATGGAACGGGGACCTTTTGATCCAATGCTGGGTTGTGGGATCCAGGACAGCATCTCTTACCAATTAAATCTGCCCAAAAGCTGCTTTTACCTTCTCTGCAGGGGAGCAGTTCCTGCAGAACCAGTCTTATGGGTAGACGTACCCCACCTGAGGGCTGTTTGTGTCAGAAGTTACATGACAGAGTTATCAAAAAGAGGATTATTCATCTAAATCTTATCCTTAAATCATGAGCCAGTTCTGTTTGCTTTTTGGTCCGTGGGCAGATGTTTTAAAGCGATGGTTTTGGTCCACGTCCTCCCGTGTTCAAGCGTCGCTTTGCTCGTTTCAGTGCCGTGCGGTGGGAATCTGACGGAGCGCAAAGGAACCATCCTGTCCCCCGGCTTCCCCGAGCCGTACCTCAACAGCCTCAACTGCGTCTGGAAGATCACGGTCCCCGAGGGCGCGGGGATACAGGTACGGGATGTCACAGCCATGAGATCCTGTGACAGGATCCGCTGCGCTTACAGGGGCCACGTGTTGGGAACCTGCTGCTCCTCGCAGGAAGAGACGGGTTGAATTTGTGATTCTCTGGAATAGGCATTTATTTCCACCAGGACTGCCAAAAGCGGGTGATATTTCAATGGATTTTTGCCTCCTGAAGGCACTCTGCGTGGGGAGACAACTGGAGCCGTGTGGCTGGGCTGGCGTAACAAAATATTTTGGGCATGTATCTTTAATATCGCTTAATGAAAGCGACGTAAGGTGCACCAAGGAAGGGTTGCTCGCTTCCTCGGGGTGCCTGCGTGGATTTGTTATGCCAGCAGAGCTGCAGCAGTGAAATGGCACAATTACAGCTTTGCAGTTGGTTGTCTCCAGGTAAATGAGCTCTCACTTCGGGTCTTTTCGTGGTCCTTATCATTCCTCTGCAGAAACAGTCCTGCGGGCTAGAGGAGGGTGAGAATTCAGCCCAACATCAGAGACCAAACCTCAGATAAAGTTGCCATTCAGCAGGCAGCAGAAGGCATCTCGCCGTGCATTACGCCATCCATGACATGGATTCGTTAACACCTTCATTCATTGCACAGGCCCCGTTATCACAGGGTTTCTTTCTTCTTCTTCATTCCACTTTGTCTGCGAGGGTTTTGTTCATTAAGTGCCTTTATTTCCCTATTGTGTATTTGGCTCATGGGTTTGTAGGTGAGTTCCTCCCTCTCTGCAGTTCTGTTTTGCTCAGCTGTTTTATTAAAACCTCAACGCTGCTTTGCTGGATCATGGTCCTGCTCTCCCAAATAGGGATCCTTACCCAGTGCCGCCATCAGACCCCAAAACAAAGCCTAAACCTGGTACTGGAGTGGCAAAGCTGGTGGGAGCAGCACCAGGGGCTTCACAGTGCAACACCACAAGCCTGGGGTTGTATTTTGAGCCCTCTGCCAGGCTTTTGCTGTGTCCAGTCCAGCAAATCTCCCTCTCTACTCCTCCCCCTCTACTCTGCCCTGGTGAGACCGCATCTGGAATATTGCGTCCAGTTCTGGGCCCCTCAGTTCAAGAAGGACAGGAACTGCTGGAGAGAGTCCAGCGTAGGGCTACAAAGATGATCAAGGGAGTGGAGCATCTCCCTTCTGAGGAGCGGCTGAGGGAGCTGGGGCTCTTTAGTTTGCAGAAGAGGAGACTGAGGGGAGACCTCATTCATGTCTATAAATATTTAAAGGGTGAGTGTCACGAGGATGGAGCCAGGCTCTTCTCTATGACAAACAATGATAGGACAAGGGGTAACGGACACAAACTGGAACACAGGAGGTTCCACTTCAATTTGAGAAGAAACTTCTTCTCAGTGAGGGTGACAGAGCACTGGCCCAGGCTGCCCAGAGAGGTTGTGGAGTCTCCTTCTCTGCAGACATTCAAAACCCGCCTGGCCGCCTTTCTGTGTAACCTCATCTGGGTGTTCCTGCTCTGGCAGGGGGATTGGACTGGATGAGCTTTGGAGGTCCCTTCCAGGTCCCTGACGTTCTGGGGTTCTGTGAAATCCCCCTCTCCTCTCTGTTTGAAGCCATTTAAAACAGTGTTTCCAAACACTTCAGAGCTCACCGTCAAACCCTTCCTGCTTATCTCAAATTTTAGCTATTCTCTAAACCCCCAAATGTCAGAGGGATCCATTCAGCTCAGCCGAACGCCTGAGCGGTTGAGGCAGCTCGCACGTTGCGCAGTGCTCCTGGGATGGGGAGGTGATAATTCGCTTAATTTTTAAAGCGATGTAAATAGATGTCTGTGTTCTGCACCGCCGTGTGCTGAGTGCCAGCCCCAGCTGCCGCTTCCCAGCCCGTGGAGCTGTTTTTGCAGTCTGCTGAGCCGAGGGGAAGGCGGGTGTTACAGCACGGCTGTATTCCTAAATACTTGCTTCTCAACTCTTTGGTTGTGCAAATGCAGCTTTCGCGTGTGGAACTGGAAAATCTAATGGCAGCGGTTCGAAGGTTTGGCTTTATTGGGGTTTTTTAACCTCTTTTCTGCTGGATGTGGCCTCTTGCGAGGGAAATGGATGTTTTGGGGTCTAACACACAACACAAGCAAACAAAGAAGTGCACCCTGTGGCTGAGCTTCGGCACTGCCAGAGAATTGGGGGCAGTTTTTGGGTCCAGAATGGGAGGTTTTGGCACAGGGCACAGGACCATGACCCCTCCCTGTGATGCTGGGGTCTCTGCATCCAGCAGTGCCGGGTCCCTGCATCACACCAGCTAGCATCAGAAGTCTTCCAGGATTTTCCACTGGAAATCTTCTAGGGGATGAAGAGGCATGGAGGGAGAAAGGTGTTGGTCTCCAGGAAGGAAAACAGCCCCGGTGAAGCCACACGTGGGAGCTGGCAGCTGGGGACAGCCCAGAGGCCGGGTGATGGCCACGGAGCGGCACAACCTGCCCCGGTCGCCCACGTTGGCGTGCGAGATGCTCTCAGTTATTAGATCCTAATCTAAGCGTCAGTTTACCCTCATTTTGTACAACAATTAAAGGTTAAAGCAGTGTAAATCAGAGGAGGAGGTGAAATTAAAGCTTTCTTGGTAGCGACGAGTCACTGGCAGGGTTTTTATGTAATCAGTGTACGAGCTAGCACTTCTGCCATGAATTATTCATTCCTGTAGCAAACCTTCCTGAGTGAATTAATTTCTATACATGGCAGTAAATAGATGCAGATCCCTTGTGAATCCACATGTCAGACTAGAATTAGGACCTTAAAAATGTTTATTCCGTTAAGTTGGGAGGGGGGAGAATAAATAATTTAGGAAACGTAAGAGCAAACGAAATGCACATTCTCATTCCACCTTTGCTTTCAATGATGTAAATCACAATAGGGGTGTAATTACGCAGGCTGAAAGGTATTGACTTGGTCAGTGTGATCAGCAATGGCTCCGCGGGGGCCGCTGCAATTTCTGCTGGATGAACTCCACTTATTTTTTTGGAACTAAAAAAAAAAGCCCAAAACTTTGCAAGAACTTTACAGCCTGCTTTATTATTCAGAATAGATCGAGGAGGAAGAAGGTGAAAATGGCAGAAGTAATGGGGTTTGATTTTATTATTATTATGATGATGTTATGTAAGCGCGCGTGTTTTGCTTTGCATTTGGCAGGGGCAAAGGCAGGCGAGGTATTTGGAGTGGATGAGTAAATACAGATAAGAACACTGTAGGAAATAGGGGTTTTCACAGAAACACACACGTGTGTGTGTATATATGTGTGTGTGTGTGTGTGTCTATGTGTGTGTGTGTGTGTGTGCATCCATGTGCAAGCGGTCAGGGTTTGCAGGACGCCTTCAAAAGTGGTAAGCACTGAGCACCACTGAGCTCCATGTTTTGGGGAGTGATGCTGTTGAATCCAGGCTGCAGAGCAGAGGCGTTGACCTTGGCAGGAATCTTCATCCAACGAGACCTCAAAGCGCCGAAGCTCTGCAGTACACAGAGATGTGGAGGGTGCAAGCAAAGGGCAATTGAAGTCGTGGTATTTTCCCCCAAATCTGCCAGCCGTGGTGCCAACAACTGCAGGGCTGCGCTGTACAAGGCATTTATGCTTCTCATTTGTCTTCAAGGGTCCTTTTTTAGGTTGTTGGCCTAGAGGTTTAATTTGAGGTACCCCGTGTTTGAAACTTTCATCTACAGCTTACAGATTAGAGCTGTTTTTCCCCAGTACTGCTGGCTTTCTCTCAGGTTTGCTGTCTGATTCTCTCAGGCTGTTCACAAACTCCATCTACAGCACAGCTTATTATTCTTAACAGGACATTGCATCCTTCCAGCTCCTGGTATTTAGGAATAGAGGCAGAATCCGTTTTAGTGGTAATTGAGGAAAACAAATCTGTGCAATTACTTGTAGATCTTTGCCCGAGTAGAAGAGCTGCTTCTTAATGTAAATGCAGATGTATCAGATCTCAGGATGTTATTTATTTGAGGACTGCATTGATGTTCTAATGGAGCCAAGGGACTTCCTTCAGCCTCCAAACCTTACGGGGGATGGCAGAGAGAGGTGAGAAATTCGAAAACGCAACTTGAGTGGTTTGACTGAAAGCCAAGAAACGAGGCAGTTGCAGAAACTTCACTGGATTAAAGAAAGCTGGCGGTTTAATGGGGGTTTCTTAGTTTTTATCTCAGCTCTTGGGTTGCTGGGGGTTGTTTTCATTTGAAAGTGTTGCAGAAAGTCTGCAGGGATTTCTCAAAACGGGGAAGAAAGGCTCAGATTCTCAGCTGCTGTAAACGCGCTGTGAAATCACAGGAGCTCTCCCTTTACAGCAGCAGAAACCAGCATCCCGATACAGACGTGTGGAGCATGGACTTTGCTTGGAAAACAGCTGTAGAACCCAAATTAGTGGCCCTTTCCTTGATGCTATTTTGGTTTATTAGCGTGACTGCCCTGATCCTTTTTTCTCCTTTCTCCCCAGATCCAGGTGATCAGTTTTGTCACCGAGCAGAACTGGGATTCGCTGGAGGTGTTCGATGGAGGAGACAACACCGCCACCATGCTGGGCAGTTTCTCTGGTAGGTGCTCAGCGTTGTTTTTCGGGGGAGCCCATCGGTGCGCGCTTAATTCCTGTTCACGCAACCGGGCTCCAGCACCGACGTAAATTTAAGCTTATGCTTAAGTGCTTCAAAGACTCAGCATAGATTTAGGCAAGTGCTCAAAGGGAATCATGTGCTTTGCTGAGTTGGGAGTTTGGCTACTGTCTTCCTGCAGGAAATGTTGATAGAGAGCCCTAAACGCAAAACCAGTGGGTTAGGTTTGGGTGTTTTTGCAAAAACCCCTGAGCACATCCACAGCCTGGAAGCGGGAGCTCCCGTGGTGCTGCTGGGCTGTGTGGGGTGAGCTCAGAGCACTGCACTCGGCAGGTGAACCAGACCTGGCCGATTTGCACCAAAATGCGTGAAGGGCTGCAAACCCACCTCTCTTCTGTGGAAAGGAGTAACAAGAGCCCTGTAAAGCTCTCAAATAGCAGAGCCACTTGCAAACCGCCAGCCCCAATTCTTGCTGATCTAATGAATGAAAGTCCTCTGAGGATGGTGAGGAGGAGACTCGTGTGTAAAGACCAGCAGACCCTGCTCCCAGCACCGTGTTTGAGTGGGAAATGCCTTGACCTGGTGCTGCTGCAGTTTGCAGGGAAAGA